TCACTGTGGACTTCGTCACAGGACTGCCGCGTTCCTCTGGTCACTCGGTCGTCCTTACCATCGTGGATAGATTCTCCAAGGCTGCCCATTTTGTTCCCTTGCCTAAACTCCCTTCCGCCCTTGAGACTGCTCACTTACTCGTTGTTCATGTTTTTTGGCTGCATGGGATTCCCCAGGACATTGTGTCTGACAGGGGACCTCAGTTTGTGTCACGTGTGTGGAAGGGGTTTTGTGCTGCCTTGGGGTTGGGGGCAAGCCTCTCCTCGGGCTATCACCCACAGTCTAATTGACAAACTTAAAGGACGAACCAACAACTGGAATCCGCACACCGTTGTGTGGTTTTGGCTAATTCTGCTTCCTGGAGCTCTCATCTCTCCTGGATAGAATATGCGCATAACTCTCTCACCTGTTCTGTCCCCGGTTTCTCTCCGTTTGAGGTTTGTTTGGGTTATCAGCACCCACTGTTTCCTTCTAAGGAGGCGGAGGTTGCAGTCCCAGTGGTGCAGGACCACCTGCGCCGCAGCAGGAGGATTTGGCGTCAGACCAAGGCAGCGTTGCTTCGGACTGTGACACGAGCTCATTGTATGGTGGATCGGAGGAGATCTCCTGCTCTTCTATAATCCGTGGGACAGAAGGTGTGGCTGTCGTCTGCAACTGTTCCTTTGAAATGTATGTCTAGAAAGCTGGCACCCCGTCTTCTGGGTCCTTTCACTATTCAACGCATCATTAATCCTGTATGTGTCAGACTGCAACTGCCTGCTTCCATGAGGATTCATCCTACTTTCCATATTTCCCAGCTCAAACCTGTTTCTTGCAGCCCGTTGTGCCCCCCGTCCGATCCCCGTAGTGCACACCGATCTCCGCGGTGTGCACTACGGCCAACCCATGTTTGGATTTTGTCTGCTTACCTGTTGTCCTGTATCCTTAGCCGGATCCATCACCCGTTTGCCTGTCAGCTGCTGGTAAAGCCGTATTTCCGGGATCACTTCAAACATCAATCGCATCTTTACCTTCGCATCCTGGAGATTCTCGTCCAAACATGTACTGCCAGTGTGAGAAGTGAGCTCTCCAACTCTCCCCATGTTTATTGCCGCTTTTTATCAATTGTTTGGTATCTTCCCCTAAAATTTCGTTTTCCTTTTTCTCGTAGATCAACCCTGTGTGTGTCGATTATACCTTTCCCTCCAAGTGCGTGTCAGCCCCCTTTCCTGGTTTCCCTCCGTTTATTTATCACTGTACATAATCTCCCACCCTGTGTAAATAATCCAGACACTGTAAATAAAGAGCACTTTCTGCATTCCCTGCGTTTCTGTGTGTTCTGCCATAGAGTCCATTCGTTCAGCCTAACAGACAAGCCCTGGGAATCTTTAAGAGAGAATGTGCAACTAACTTTCTTATGTATGTCTAATTGTGTGAAGTTGACACATGGCAAGGACCATGTGGCAAACAAGGATTTTCTGGGGAGGCTTTATTGCTTAAATTACAGGTGGAAAATGCAGATGCAGACTGAGGCTATGAGAGAGGCGACAAGAGGATCAGTGAGGGGTGGAGACCACCTCCAGCTGACGACCCGCAGAGAGCTGTGCCACTGGGCTTCCTAGATACAACAGAATGGGTATCTGAAGGATAAGGGGAGCGTGCCAAGCTCCAACCGAAAGCACAGAGGAAGTTCAGGGATGGCATCATGATTCTGTAAACAACACAGAAAACAGATGCTATGGCGGTGACAGGAACTGACTGACGGCAATTTCTCAAGGATTATCGCCTAATGTTTTTTCGCTGTGCCATACAGAGGTTGACACTCTACAGAGGGTCTTCCTTTGTGTCATTGTTGTTGTCATTTGCATTATGAACACTTCTACAAGACTGCTGCTGAAATTTTGAGCCATGGACGTGGTCATGACTCAACAGGAGGGAGCAGCATAACAGCAGTAAAACAACTGGATCCAATTTCCTTTTAAAAATAACATTGCTGAAAGATCAACATGGATTCACCAGAGTCACTGCAAGAAGATCACGCACCTTGACGCTGAGCCTGAGTCCGACTACAAAGGGGGAGAAAGCCTCTAGGACCTTCCATCTCAAACCCGGTGAAGAAACCAATGACTCCCTTACCTTTAGTCAGCAACAAAGATGACAGCGTGGCTGAAAGTATTCCTGTTCGTGACGATAGCTGAAGCACTATGGGACCGAGAAAGCCACACTCAATAACCTCATGGCTATTCTACAAGCTTTTGGTGGCAGATGATGAACACCATGGCGCACCTTAACAACAAGATGGACTGCTACGTATGTGCCCACATGCCACTATCCACTCACAGCTCTGGATTATGGCCGTATAACATTCTTGCTAACCGCATCCCAAGGTGGGGTGTGTAAGCTAATTGGTGAGACATGTTGCACATTCATTCCAGACGAATACTCCACTGGCAGCGACATCTATGAGGACCTACAGAACTTAACCGTGCTGCAAAGGCATGTGGCAGACCACACACCATGAGCCTCAACACAGGATTGGCTCGTATGGCTGACTTCTGGACCTAGGTAGCACATGCTACTGTAGATTTTGACCCCAGTATTTGTTGTTTTAGTTCTTATGTTTATTACTGTGACCTGTATTCTCCCCTGCATAAAAAGCATGATACAAAGGATGGTGACTAATACCTTTATTTACTACACATTAGCCCAGGAGGACCCAAAGCAGGACATGGAAGATTGCATTTAAATGAAGTAAGCATTGAAAATGCACCTGAAAGTGATGCTGTACTGATAATTGAAAACACAAGCTTTTAAAATGTCAAACAGGAGGGAATAATGTTAGCAACCTACAACACATACATTAAACCTATTTAAAAAGCTACACATTGCCATTTAAAAAGCTAGAATGCTTTTGTTTGCTCCCGAACCCAACAACAAGATCATGTTGATCCAACACATCTCTTCCTTAGGCTGACTGAACTGTGGGAGCACACTGCCTCCGATCCAGAGCTACAGAAACTGAGCACTGTCACAATGAAGGCCTGGCCTTGCAGACAAACTCAGCTGCTCACAGAAATTCGTGAATACTACCCATATCAAATAAACTCCCCCTTGAAGATGGCATTGTCAAGAAAGGCCTGAAGACAGTGATCCCAAAGTCTTTACAAAAGGATTAAATCACTGTCCTCCACAGAGGGCACCCAGGCACAGAAGCTACTAAACGCAGGGCCCATGCTATCATGTTTTGGCCCACAATAACTGAAGATATAGGGCAAGAAACAATTGCGTGTCCGGTGTGCAACAGCACCAGGCCACATAAACAAAAAGAGCCACTCAAGCTCACACACTAGGTTCTCCAGCTGAAAGGCTCATGTCAAGGCAAACATGCACTATCATGCAACATCTGCTGGTTCCCAGGCCCAAAAGCAACACAGCTGTTAAGACAAGCCTAGTTCATAAGCGCCATGCACAAAAGAAATGCTATGACAACTCCAGCAGACCACTCCGTCCCCTTGTGCTAAGTGAGGTTGTGAGGATGCAAACGCATCATGGACATGACTCCTTAGGGACTAATAAGAAATCCAGATCATACATTGTCCAGTCAGGAGGCGGAGAGTATAGGCGGAACCGCAGGCATGTCCTCCCAGTCCCTGAAGCACCACCACAACACGGAGATTCCCACGATGACTCTACCGTGGTCCAACCATCAACCGCCTGTTCCCCAGAGCACAAAGAAAACGAAATCCATGGAAACTACATGTAACGTGATGTTGACAAGGTCAAATGTTAAATGTTTACTATATTCTTACCAATGACAGTTCCAGGGTTGAAGTGAAAGGTTAATGTCCAGGCTATAATGTTGTGGATTAGAATCTGTTGTTTATACAGTCTTAACCTAAAGAAAGGGGACGTAGAACATCTGACTGGTATTGTTTAATAATGGGGGTTGAATAGTGGTATTGTAAAGCGCTTTGAGGGGTCCCGAAAAGCGCTATATAAATGCAATCCATTATTATTATTATTATTACCTGTTCAGAATAGTGCACTGCGCATGCATGCAGTAAGAAAACGCTGCTTGCATGTAATGCCTGCTCAGTTACCCATTAAACAAAGCTTGCAAGGAATCACAAATCCAGCGTCTTTACTAAACATCAAACATTGTCCTTTGAGATTTTAACATAAGACTGAGGATGATATAAGGCTAAAGATTTAAACAGTTTTAGATCCATTACACTCACTGAGCACTCTACAGCCTGGTAACACATAAACTTTAAATAAAAACTAGTGTAATTTGTTCTTTTCATGTAATAACATCGTTCACATTATGATCAACAGCTAGATTCACAGTTAAGTAAACCTAATGAGGGAGACCATCAGGACCAAGCTGGGTTTCCTGGGTCCAGAGGTTTGGAGAAACTTCCTCCCTTTCTTTTATCACAGCTGTCCTGTGCCAGATGTTCTGTTGACCCACTGAGAGAGGCATAATTTCAGAAACATCAGAAAGATTGAAGCTCATTGCATAGATCAATGATCTTGACCATTGATCTCTACAGCTCCCTCAGAGGGAAATCTTCAGAGCTTCACTGTTGGCCCGCTCCAGAAAATGGATAAACCAAGTTTCATGAACAAGCGTGATGGACACCTTTGCTTTGTGTAATGTTAGAAGTACTCAGATAATCTTCAGAGGCTCTGGACTTTTACATAAAAATATTATATTCAGTCCTGTAGAAAGTTATATATTTAAATATACATTATCCTGTCTGGTTACTCTGGAGCTGTACTTTTTCAGTTTTATGTCCGTAAAGAAGTTCAATCCGTACTTCAACTTTTACTGAAGCTTTATTTTAACACAAGTATCTGTACTTCTACTGAAGTAAATATTGCCTGTAAATTTGCCACCTGTGGTATTAATCTGAATAATACACTTCTGATTTAAGTCAAAATCAGAGCTGACTTTGGTTGCAGCTGATTAGCTCAGTGTCAGGGTTACTGGTTTTCTTCCCAGCTTGCATTTGTCCTACCTGCAGAGGGTGAGTTCCAGGACTGAAGTTAGGTAAATGGCTGTCAGCTCTCTGCAGAGAGATGCAGACCAGCAGCAGAAACACAGAGAATTCACTAAGCTTCATCTACAATTTCATCAGGTGATTAATAAATCTTGACAACCCACAAATGCCTTGTCTTCTTCTGTGAAAACAAAAGACTGACGCAGACAATAACTGAAGAGAGATTCAGTAATCCTCTTAGCCTGCTTTAAGAGTCACATGACTAGAGGATGACATCACACTGACGCGCCAATCACTGATGGACATTTCACTGTTACTGCATCACAGTCACTGATGGACCTCTGACCCCCTTATTAATCAGTTGCCTACAGAACATCTGTTTAAATAAAGCTTTATTTTAGAAAGAGGCTTTATATGAGGCTCCTTTTTTCCAAGAAAGATGTACAGGTCTTTTTCTACACAGAACCATACACCTGTGTGTACCTAGGTGTATGTTTTCTTTCTTATTGGTGTTTATCTTTATTTGCTCTTTGCTTCACTGCATAATGAAAAGCAGTTTAATTAACTGCATTTTCATTACTTGCTGCAGCCCACTTCTGTGGCTGAAAAAAGTGTGTAAACTTATTTTAAACTAAAACATTTTTAGTCTTACTTAGACCTTTTCAAGAATCCAGGGTTGTAGTTTTTGTGTTGAGCAGGAGTTCCTATCGGCTGTAACAGTGAACTCGTTGTATCAGCCCCTGAAGGAGTTTCAAATTATCTGACATAATAGATTTGGCCCACTGCTGTCTCAGGGAGTGAATGGTGAATGGTCACTGAAGGCAGCAGTGACTCTGCACACTTAGATCTATTTTGGACTTGGACCACTCCTACAGTCTGCTATGAAATTTATCTCAATGACTGGACTTCACTTCACTTCTGCTCTTAAACCAAGAATGTTACAGGACTCAGAGCAGCTTTGAAGTTAATCTCCAAGAATGAAGGGACTAACTGTCCCACAAACTCAGAATACACCTAACATTTAGAAATTTCATGTACCATAATAATAATGTTGCAGTGTTCACACCTATTTACACACAAGGCAAAGTGTCATCAAGTATTTAAAACTATGATTTATTGGTGACACAGAGCAGACTGATCAGCTGAACACATACAGTCTTACAGATTTACACTGAATTATGTATTACATAGTATCAGTCAGAATGTTTTTATCATTGCACTCTGGCTTGTTCACTAATATATTTCTTATCAGGTTTATTGATTCCTCCTTAACTAAAACTTACTCTCTGCAGTAGGGGGTGGGGTCTTAAATAACTTTCAGCATTAGAGACAGGGGCGATTTTAGCCCATTTTTAGGGGTGCTTAAGCACCCCCAAAAGGAATCAAAGCACCCCCAAAGATTTCTTACTTTTTTTGACAATATTTGCTCTTTGTGTGACACATTACTAAAAATATAAAAAGCATACAGTACTGTACTTGTTTGAGACGTAACATTTTAACAACAAAAGTATAGATAACTCCCCCCCTCCCAAAATGGTTTGTTCCAGCTCTCCCCTACTCTGGCTCTAGCGCCATTGCTGCCAGAGATGGTGGCTTAGACGCAGCGGAGCGGAGGTGTAAGTGCCTGTCTTAAAACAGGACATATTAGCTGCATTTAACCTCCAGTTACTCTTTATATAGTTAGGTAGGAGTCACACCATGTTTCTTTTTAGCTGAAAAGCATTACACCAGGTAACCTGCAGTGTTGAAAACGTGTTTTCCGACAATGTTAGCTACCCTACAATCCGTCGTGCTCTGTAGTAAAATCAGCGACATTTGACCGTCCTGTCGCTCCCATTGAAATGTATACAGCCTATTTAAAATCTAAAACTTAAAATTGTCCGCAGCCTACTTTTGGTTACCACTGTCCTGTTTGAAATGGATACTAACTAGTTAACTGACTGAATGCCCATTAACCTTATAAACTCCTGGTGTGTGTGTGTGTGTGTGTGTGTGTGTGCAGAGAGACAGCCAGGTTCATAATGGATATAAGGAAGTTTTTCCAAAAAAAGGAGCCACATTCAGGTAAAAGTGTAAAATCAAATGATCCATCATTCAAGAATAATGTTGGATCAGTGTTTCAATGTTTATATCTTTTATTAGATGTTCATGTTGTTATTTGCCTTTTTGTTGAAAGTAGACTGAGAGAGGACTTTTTGTTAGTGATCTTATTAGAATTTTTTTCATATTAATGTAATTTTTCATCTAATTGAATACAATCTATTTGTGTATGATTGTCAGTCCAAAGAGGGAGAGAGGAAAGAGGGAACATGAGGAGAAAGTACAAGGTCAGGAAGAACCAGGTAAGAAAACAGACAGGGAACAGTGACAGGCACAACAGAAACTGTTAAACTGACAAAGAGAAAAAACCTGATTTTACTCACACAATCTGGAAGTTGTGTCCTCCCTATATTAAAGCTGCCATACAGAATCTGCTAAACAAACTGGGTTGAAACATTTTTGACCCTCTTTAACAACATTCCAACATAACATTATCATTGATTGAGCAGCCCTAGAGAGACTTGATGAATTTAAGAATCTTATGATTTAATAAAGAAATTTGCAGACTTGCACAGAGATGGTAAAATTATGATGATTGCTAACGGAGACGAAGATAACAGACGATGAGGACAGGGAGGAACAGGGGTTTAAGTGCACCAAGGAGACAGTCAGAGAGAACTCGGGACAATATTTAAGGATGCAGGGACTGACAGAGACAGGTTTATCTTGCCTGGCTGGGCAGCTGTCTGGGTGCTCAGCACCCCCAAAGCTCTGATCCTAGAATCGCCCCTGCTTAGAGATGAAAGAAAAAAAAACACGACAAGAAACCCATTAATTGATCCATTAATTACTTGCACATGGTGTTACTATTGTGCTCTGGATCTTCTGGCTTCACAGAGTAACATGAGAAGAAAAGCAGTTCTCACACTCTGAAGGCCAATTCCATCTTCTCCATCACTTTAAAGCTACTCTACCCAGCAAGCACCATCCACCATCAAATCAGGAGACTGGTGATTATTATATGAGGTAGTGAAAGTTTGTTTAATTAATGTTGAGGCTACAGATGAATCTTTTCTATTCTGTGTGGATTCGCATGTTAACCCTCAGGTCAGACTTAGACCTGAATGTTTTTCCACATTCTGAGCAGCCAAAGGATTTCTACCATGTGTGAATCCTCAGGAGTTGTTTCAAATTTCCAAAGAGGCCAAATGTCTTGCCACACAGGGCAACTGAGTGGTTTCTCTCCTGTGTAGCTTTTTTTGTAGTGATGGGTCGGTCGCAAACGAAATGGCTCTTAGAGCTGACTCTTTGAAGTGAACGATGCAAGCCGTGGGGTTTTTTTTTTCTTTCTCTTGCCCTCTCTCTCACTTTTTTTCGCTGCACGCTGCACGTCACTCTTGTGTTTCTGCTGAGCAGAGACGGGAGGGGCGCAAACATAGCTGGACTGGCCATCGGGCATACCGGGCATTTGCCCGGTGGGCCGATGGTAATTTTTCGTTTTAAATGGGCCGATGTTTTGTTGTTGTTGTCTTTTTTTCCGTAACCGTGTAAACAGTGAAAGGTGGCGGATTGGACAGATGCTGGCAAACGTGTAAAAAATAACTCAATTGTTTGGTAGTGGCTATGGTGGAGCTTTCACAGATTCAGTAAAATTAGCAAGTGGTGGAGGCCAGCAGGTGGATAGGGGAAAGGGGAGGCGGAGGAGGAGAGACCCGAGGCGGCCGCCGGTCCGACTGTCAGGTGAAATGAGCTTCAGGTAAGAAGTTATGACCTGCAGTCTATCTGGGTCAGATATAAACCAAGTTTAGGTGGAGTTTATTTTCAATGTGCTAACTTTTTACAGTCAGTTACAATAACTCGTACTGTGTACTAGCTAGCATGATGGAGTTTCGATACAGTTGGGCGGGTGCTATGATGTTACTGGTGAACTTTATTTTATTCATAAGGTTAGTTAGTCGAGTTGCCTATACCTCTGGTATTCAGAGTTAATATTACGTGTTTTGTATTGAGCTGAAAATAAACGCGATTTGTTCTGTACTTCAGCTACAATAAAAAAAA